TTCTGGGAGTTGAAGTCCACACATCTTAAAGTTGCCAAGGTTGAGAAACACTGTGCTATAGAATAACCTCTTTCTTTCAGAACTGTAATGAAAGTACACTAATAATTCTGCTTGGCTTATATCCTTGGGTTCTTCCTTAGGAGAGAACACAACTTGTTTACAACTTCAGCTGTAAGCAAAGATACTTGTTGCCACAGCATAAGCCGAAGGTTAAGCTGTTTGAATGGAGCAGTTCAGTCAGGAACAGCCATACTTCTCTGCTCAGGGCTTCATGTGGGGCTCCATGTCTTTTTTCTGCCCCAGGAGAGCCTTCCTTAAATCTGCCAGAACTATATTTAGCTGCTGAGATCACTGGAGATACCGCTCTGACCCTGCACTGTGAAGGATGCAGGCAACATTTTCAGAGAGGATGAACTCATCAAGGTTAGAAGAAGGCAGGCAGGTTTAATCCTAAAATCACAAATGCTCCAAAATCTGGAGATTAACATCATCAATAGTTCCTGAAGCTGAACTTCAGAAATGTTGCTTTTTCAAGGAATGAAGACCTTTTCGTCTACCTATCCACTTCAGCTAGTATCACTTTCAAACATGCCATCAGCATAATCTGAAATAACACTCATGGAGGCCTATTCTTGGTCTTGCAGAATGCTTGACAAAAGTCACTAGCACTTATTTCTAGGTGTAAGTTTTTGAGGCTGAGTTTATGCCACCTATACTCATTAACCTGTATGTCAGAATTTAGGAAGAATTGGCACTCCTCATTGTGCAGAACTGTTTCCTTATTATTACCACTTGAAACCCCTTCCCCCACTGATTTTTTCTTTACCTCCACTTTTTCCCTTGTTCTTCCTCATTTATCCCATATAACAGTGTTGTCCAAACTTGGCCACTTTAAGATGAGTAGACTTCAACTCCCAGAATTCCCCAGCCAGCCATGCTGGTTGGAGAATTCTGGGAGGTGAAGTCCACTCATCTTAAAGTGGCCAAGTTTGGACAACACTACCATATAATCTTTTATCTCATGAATATTTGAACCATTCCCAGTAGAAATTAATGAACAAAAGTTAGATTTGGCTCAGATCTATCCACACCCATGATCACTTTAATGAATTGGCCATTTGTATAGCATATCCTTTCTCATATAAGCACCTTCCAGATGTGCCAGATTACAACTATTGTCATGTCCACTGATGCTGGGTGGTAGCGGCTTCAGTCCAATGCAACTGAACTACACCAGGAGGAGGAAAATAGGCATATCAATTTAAGCAAATAAATCTTACAAACAAACAAATAAAATACAGGAGGGACAAATACAGTTCTTGTACATGACCCACATGGAAAAGTGCTGAATCCTGGCAAAAGAAATAAGCCCTGGTGCCTAGGAAACTAAAACGATGTTTTAGAAGAACCTTTTGTAAAGAAAAAAGAAAAATCAGATACATTGGTTGGTCTGGAGAATATTTTTTTTCTCATGAGATCTTTAATTTGGGGAGTATAGTTTCACTCTTGCATGTCCTGATTCAAGCCACACATTTCTTGCTTGGGTTAATCAAGCCATTTTTTTACCATAAATTAAGAGCTAGAATGTCTGTCTGGTATACTTTGGTGGAAATAAATCAATGCATCATTGGGCAAGATTTTGATCAGCGTATATATGACTTAATGTCACAAAAGAGCCAAATGGGATTTACCAGTGTACCAGTAGGGAACCTGAGAAACTGAATTAGCCTTTAGCTGCCTCAGCGAGTATTTCTGAGCTAAGCAAACGATGTACTTCATGGTTTCAAATGATCATCAGCTTGGTTCGAGAGCACGCACTTCCCCTCTGCTGCTCTAGGAGGGCGTGCAGCATTCTTCCAATAGCAGCTGAAGTAATTTAGTGCTGGAGTCAGGAGAGAAGGCTCAGACTTCAACCATATATATCTTTAGCTGGGAGAAAGTCCATGTCCTCTGGAAAAATGGACAGAACTGCAGAGGAAACTGAGCGAATGGATAGCTGAGTTTTGTTTTTCCTTTGTTCAGCGAACTGAATGGCAAACCATTAGCTTTAGATAAACTTAGGGAATCCTAGTATTTGTTCTTTTGGACATCACAGTTGATTATCCATGAATTCCCCAAATGGCTCTCTATCAGGATGTGCAAGCAATCACCAATTCTCCTTCCTTGCTTTTGCCTCCACATTCCAGGTCACCATCATGTTTAGCTGAGCTCTTTTCTAATGCTCATTCTGCTGCTTCTTACCTTCTTGGAGCTGGGCAACTTGACATTCCCAGGCCAAGTTCAAAGTCTTGCCAAAGGACAATTCTACACACAAAGGATCAACCCTGGGCATGGAAAAGCAAACGCAGTACATCTGTAGGCGGTGGATTGGCTCTCGCATTCATGTACTGTGCTGATAAATCCAGTCCTGTTCCCAGCGCTAGCGGCTGGAATTCCTTAAATGATTAAAGATCTACTCTTAAGCTCTGCAAGAGTCTCTCTGTGCCCTCTGAGATACACCTGTTGGGTTGTCTAATCCTCAATAATATGTGTCCTATAGAAGACTGGTTATCCAAATGACTGGCATAATCTTCCACGGTTTTCTCATAGCAGCCACCCCTCACACAAATGCCCTGCAAAGCAAGATACAAGAGTTCTCCATACCTGTTCAAGCCCTTATTCAGACCAAAGTAGTACCTCTGCTGTGAAGTCTTAAAAGAGCAGATGCTTCCCAGGTGAGGTTAGAGCCCAGTGTGAGTTTTCTCAGCACTTTTCTCACCCAAGAGATTCTCCAAGTCAGTGCTTTCCAGCTGTCCCACGTCTTGCCCTTGTGCCTTTTTTGATCTTGCCCACTGGGATACCAAGGTTCTAATCCATGTTACATCAGACATTTATTTCTGGCTGAGAAAAGGGGTGTGTCCAGTCCAGAGCAGAATCTTTGGGAACTTAACTAGCAGCAAGTGCTGGGGCCGAGGGCAGCATGGAGAGAGAAACATCTATCCTTGTACCCAACTAGTACCACCACTGTGTTTCATCTGGCCACAGGATCTGTGCCTTTCACAGCAATGTGGTCTGTGCAGAAGGCAATAAGAAATTAATCATGTTTATCTCAACACTCTGAAAAGCTACAGGCTCACTTACGAGGCCATAAGTCCAAAATAAATATTGTCTCATTCCTTCCCACAAATGTTTACATCAGTTTGGAAATCATCAAACACTTTCAGATAAATGGGTGCAGCCACAGAAGCATATATAAATGTCACAGAATGTGGTTGGGCAGACAGTGGCACAGAAAAGTGGGGTTGCCACTTTCCTAAGAAAGATATTTGTATTCTTATCTTCGCTCTTTGAAATACAGTTAACAAAGCACACATTCTCGTTTCTTTAGCTACTTAGATACAAGCAATGAGCTGGAAGTTGAAAGGTATTTTTTTTTAAGAGAGAACTATTTCAGGGCTTCTTATGTGTAATATTCTGACAGTGACTGTGTGCATATATCTATGTATTTATCTATTAATTTGATGAGCCAAGCAAACTCAAGAAGGGGCAAAATAGAAAAAGGATGATTTCCCATTCCCAATTAGCTCTTCAAATGCATCTTGTCTCGAGATGTGCATTTACTTTGTGTATTTTAAAATGCTACAGGGCCTTTATATTTCAGACTATCCCTAGGAGATGTTCCTGCAGGAGGACACATACTCTGCAAGCTGCATGGTTGCTAGTAGGCTTCTGGGTGCAATTCAAGGTGCTGGTCATCACCTATAAAGCCCTGCAGGGCATAGGACCAGGCTAATTGCAGGACTGCCTTTCTTCTATTGTTTCTGCCTGCCCCACCAGATGTTGTAGAGAGGCTATTTCTATTAAACAGTGTGATCTTGTTGAACCCCAGAGTACCTGCCCCATAGAACAGCATCCCCCCAACTTAAATAAACCTTTCACAAGGCATTGAAGACCTGGCTGTTTCCTCAGGCATTTGGGTCGGGGGGGGGGGGGAGATG